CCAGTGCATTTTGGTAACACTAAGTTCCAACAGTGGATTTTATGTCATGTTGCTTAGCAAAAATAGTATAACCTAATATTGTTGTTAGTCAGTGTACTGAAGGTATAAAATGAAATGTATAGCCAAAAAAACTGGAAAAATATTTGTTGATTTCTTAATTTAGTCTCCATTGATTAAAAGAGGTTGTTTTTTTTTCATTAAAAATGTTGGTGATATAACAGAAAATAATTTAAGTCAGAAACAATTTAAGTTGAAAATTGAAGTGCACTTAGCTCTAGTTTAGGTGATCCCACACTGCATTTTTACTTTAAGCTTATTATACAAACACTCGCAACACTTATAAGGCTTCACAGCACATACACACACCCTTCACGGCCTCTTGGACGCCCATCACCAAAATAGTATTGGGCAGACAGTAATCAAACTATTCTATCTGGATAAATGCATTTTGACGTGACATGACATGACACATACACTGGCTTTTATATAGGTTAAATAGATGTTTCGTTAAGTCTCATTACTTTGTATGCAGATGAAACCACATAAGATAAAATTTGATTAGTAAACTACACTGTTTAGACTACTTGTGCCTAGGCCAGAAACTGTACATGATCAAAGAGCTGTACTGATGTAATATGTTTTGATTAGTAAACTACACTGTTTAGACTACTTGTGCCTAGGCCAGAAACTGTACATGACCAAAAAAAGCTGTACTGATGTAATATGTTTTGATTAGTAAACTAGACTGTTTAGACTACTTGTGCTTAGGCCAGAAACTGTACATGATCAAAAAAAGCTGTACTGATGTAATATGTTTTGATTAGTAAACTAGACTGTTTAGACTACTTGTGCCTAGGCCAGAAACTGTACATGATCAAAAAAAGCTGTACTTATGTAACACGAGACTTAATTTTATATGAAAAAAACAACACTAAGTTAAGAAAGTTTTATTAAACTGGAAAACAAAAGGCTTTAAAATAAATTACTGAATTTAACTTTTACTGTACATTACAGTAATTTAAGTAATGAATCCCCCACCCTCTCAAAGTCTATGATTTTCAAGGTCTGGAAAATGAAAATTCATAGCTCCATGCCTTTCAAGGACTTCGAAGACCATACACAACTTCTGTAGGGAAAACAATGATTTTTGGCAGATATTTGGTTGCACCTGTAGATATGGCCCTGAAAGCCAATGTCTACACATGATGAATGGTTTGTGGAAAGTTTTAACGATATATAATGTTAGGTTGAACTTGTCGTTCTTTGCACAAGCTTATTGGAATGGTAATTATGGTACCAGGCAATAATGAATGATCATTGATATCAGACTCACCATACCAAGTGGAGGAGGCACTTCCAATGGCAGCACAGCACGTGGAACATAGTTCTTATAAAGTGCAATAAACCTCAGTATTCTTTGATAGATTGTTTAGACAGAGTATTCATGATGAGTACACTGAAATGTAAAGCAAATGCCTGTTGTAGAAAAACACAAGTATAGAGGATGACATTTCAAAAGTCTTCCTCCCATGGGCAGAACAGATGCTACCTCCAGAGAATGATAATGACAAAATAATCACCTAGGTTGTAGTGCTGTTTAATATGAGGTAGACTTTTTATATTTACAATTAATTTTACATTGTATGCAGTGACAATGTCATCCTTTACACATGTGTTTTTCTAAAACAGGCAGTTGCCATCCATTCCAGTGTACTTCAAACCTCAGTATGTTTTCCCTAAACATAACTATAGCTTGAACACTGTTCCCAGAGAACAGCATCAAGACTATACAATTTTCTACAAGGTTTATATGTTGGTCAAAATATATGCACTAAATGTATCCCCATGAGAACCTTTTGTTATCAAAATATAAAACATTGTGAATCAGCAAAGCACAGTAACCTTTAATATATTAGGGAAAAGCAAGGAAAGAAACAAATAAATAATGTAAGCTTACATATTTTTCTATAATCTATAAACACTTTAAAGCTTCAGTAGTCAAAATGTTTGGTTTGGCAAAGTTACATAAAAAAGTTAAGATTTTTAAATGGAGTTCAATATATCTGTTTTTGTTTTCTTAGCATTTTAGGCTGCAAAAACATTGTAGGATTGGAAATTATCAACAGCTCCTCCAAACTTGTTTCTTGTTGCAATAATTCTGTACAAAAAATAAAACTAATAACAATAACATGTTTATTTATAAACTGAGTCATTTATCTTATTGAATAAAATAAGGTAGAAATTTTGTATTAAAAATTCAAATCCCACAAGTATCTAATTGAAGACACTGATCAAATATTCATCGTAGATATATTCCTTATAGAGAGAAAAAAAAAGGGTAGCTGCAAGTAAAAAATCTGGTTGGCTTACAAAGAGTGTAAAATAATAAAATTAAGGAAAGTTATCATAAATCTAAGAGGTTTAAATTGAATGCTATGATGGGAGACTTAGGAGATTACAGAGATCAAGAGTTGGTTAAATAGAAAAGTTAACATTTTCCTTACCTGAAAATGTATTTCTGATAGATACCTCTACACACAGATTAGCTATCTTTCTTAGTGCATTGTTAAAGACATTTGCATACAACTAGCCTTGAGACAACTCCCACCCAAATTTCATGGGATTTTATGTGAAGTGCACCACTGCATGATGATATCATTATGCAACAAAAGCTCTCCACCAATAGGAGGGTGACACAACATTATGTGATCTGATTCCCCCAGTACATTTGCATTCATGAATCTTCTTTCTTTGATGAGGCAAGTAAAAAATGTTCACCAGAAGTGGGGAATATGGGTGGGAATGAGAAAAGAGATGAGAATCTATCATAAATACATTTTCAGGTAAGGAAAATAGTAACTTTCCACATGATAACTCATCTCTTCAAACAGATTTTCTAGAATACCATGTTGATATGGTGGAAGGACTGATGCAAAATTTACCTAGATGAGCACTCTTCAGAAAGTGTCTGAATGATGCTCATGGGGTGTGACACCCAATGGCAGGGGCTCCATAAGAGCACACCTGTGGGAGACTGCTTCTCTTCTCGTCTAGGGTATACTCTTTTCGTGTATTGGAAAAGGGAAGAAACACAGAAGCCAAATTTGTGTTACAGGGATGGGTGGAATTGGGACATGACCATGCAGGTACTTGCACACAAGTTATCAGACAGCCAATAACAAGGAATTGTTTGGGGCTGGTTCAGACTTGCCTTGTGTGCTCACCTCAACTCTATAATTAGATTCAATGGGTCAGAACCAGCTGTGGGAGAAGGACACTTGTGGTAAGTATCCAGGCTCACTTCATCTCTACTGTCAGGCATATGTGGAACATTTAAGTGAAACTGATTATCCTGAAAGCAATGGGATATGTTCACTGAATAAAACAGGAGATTTGACAAGATAATTACAAAGTAATTCTGAATTCTCTAACTTTGTGATAATGCAATAAAGAGGCAAGACACAATCTTTTATTATAATAGAATACATAAACACAGATGAAGGTCTGTTGCTTCAACTGGATTATAACTGTTTTTTCTCTAAAACTGAACATCTAATCTACCAGAATGTTTAAATGCAAGGTTTTCTACTTCATAGATAAAACTGGATTTACTCAGTGTGACTGGTCATTCTCATTCAAACAGATTGGAGGCCATAACCTTGAGTTGCCACCTGACCTACCACTGAAAGATACTGCTGTCTACATTATTGCACAGAACAATAAAATAATAAAAGAAAAACTTTTCTCAGGAAGCTAGAATAAAATAAACTTAACAACTTAGAATACTACTACATTAGTATAAGACAGCAGACAATGCATGGTATATTTATATACCACACATACACACACAGGTGAAGCATAAGTGACTATACATTTGTTTCATTTAGAATACAATTTCATTTCTAATGTCTTACTCTGAAACAAACAAATAAATACATTTCAATTATCTTCATTATATTTTCTTTAGTACCACCCATATAATAAAAACTAACCAACCATACATTATCAACTGTACAGTAAGTTTTGCCCCAACCTATACAACTCCCAATCTCCTAAAACTAATTCTCCTACACAAATGGCTTGAAAACTCCTGGACACCAAACCACTGTGGTGCCTAGAAATATAGTGAATGTTTCACTAAAAAAAATTGCTTTAATGTATATTTACCAAAATGTTTGTAATGTAATTAAACAGCAAAGAAATTATTGGTACAATGAATTAAAGAAAAAAATTGAAATACCATATCGGCCACAAAACTCTCAGTTTCTAAGAAAAAGCTGAGACAGTTCACACTGAAAGTCTCTGTAGGGTATAAATATAATTATACATCACGTAAAAGAATTGAGCAATTGGCTCATTTTCGAAGCACTAAACATTAAAGCAACTTTGGATTGTTTACATGTGAAATGCATAATTTGTCCAAAATTTAAAACTGTATTAGAAATCCCCCCCCCCCCCCTCACTGGGTTAAGCTACTATCCTAGTTCTTAGGATTTATGGCTGGTTCCTAAGTATCAAAAATATTTGACAACTCCTGCTTACATATATGTTACTCTATCCAAAATTAATTTACTTGTCTTATGCTACAGTTATATCTATCCAAAGTTGTTTGGTAACAGTTAAATAGACAGATGTAATTTCATGTTTACAATATAAACTAACAAGTTTAATTTAGTAAAAAACTCAAAAAGAAACATATTCTAAGCAATTCAAAAGTGAAGTAAAAAAGAATAAGGAATGCTTAGATTCTATAGAAAATGAATTAGAATGCATGTAAACTGAAATAAATAAAAGAAAAACTATTCATATACACAAAACTTTTTACAACAAGATACAAGCTTGATAGGCTGACTGCATAGACTTAAGAATAGTGTCCTACATGTGAATCTACAGATGTATCGCCTAATTACCAACTGCACTAAAATCTCAGCAATTGGCTTTCAATGCCTAAGGCTTTGATCTAAATAAACAGTTTTCCTTCAATACCTTAATGTTTTGATTTTTTAAACAAGCACCTGAGCAGAAAAACAGAAGGCTGGTAAATTACACACACACACACACACACACATATATACATACAGTAGCTCTCATTTTCAGTACTGTAAATGTAGGAAACCAATGGAAGTAAAAACCTCAGTTACCAACAAATATCCTTAAGTAACATAAGAAACAAGAATAAATTTGAATGAGACAAGTGTTTAAATACTCATATATTAGTGTAAAAAGATATTGGTTTGGTTTTTTTTTTCCCTTGGGAATAAACACTAAGTGCTTTTAACTATGCTTGCTTACTGATGCAATATAGATTTCTTTAACAACTCAAGCATGTAAAACACTTACTTGCAGAAAAACCAACCCATCTTGCATAATGAATTACGTGCATATTCCACCGAGACATGAAGAGAAGACCAATGGTGGCTGTCACACAAAGGGCTCCAATGATGATACAGATCAAAGTTAGCATCCATTCTGGCTGGAGATTTGGTGAAAAGCAAAGTTGAGAACGACCATATATCGTCATACATGTCTGCATTAGGCCAATCCGAGTATCACCTGAATCATATTAGACATATCAACTAATTTGCTCTCTCTCAAAAGAATTATCACAATGGTAAACTACCTCTGTTTAAAAGTAAAGAAGAATGATTTTACTAATATACAAGCAAAAATATTATACAGAGAAAAAAAATCAAAGAATGTAATTTATGTCAAAATATATAATGTATTATACTGTAACTTCAAGATAAAACACGAAATATAAAAGTTAATTGTGCCATAAGAGAGAAAGTAATAAATGTAAAGAGCTCTTATTTTAGTAGTACTTCACTAGTATGTGTTTAAGTAATGTATATAAGTAATGAACAGAAGAATATTTTGTGTTAGTAGTATTTCCCTATAAACAAGGAAAAACAGTGCACCCAATTTTTTTCAGCATAAAATATCTTACTTCAAATTTGGTAAGAAGCCAGTTACATGGTTGTCAAGAACTCATAGAGAAAGAGCTACTTATTAATTCATAACAATTTGAAGTACCATACATTTTAGATGACTACGTCCACTTGGTCTTCAAAGACAACATACAATGTAAAAATAAAACCGTTTTCCAACATTTATGTCCTAAGTTAGCTATTTTAACCGATCTTTGGTAGCCCAGTATTTATATGTAACGATAATGATGTAATGGGATTCATGTAAATTTCTATGTTATTTTGAAAAATGTATAAATATAAAAGACAAAAACAACAACAACAAAAAAAAAAAAACTTCATGATATTTCTATATCATTCTGGAATAATTGTAAATTGCAAGGTTATGATTCTTCTAAAAAACTATAACAACTTGAAATTATGGTATATTGCAATTCAAGAATTGTTTTAGATGAATATAAATATACACACACATGTAATAGTTAAAAATCTTTGTTAACAAAGGGCATTCATGCTTATAGCAGCAATGCCTTTTAGTAATAAGTATCCTTGAGCCTTCATGTCCAGCATCTCTTCTCTCTCTTTTTTTTTTATTAAAAGTTAAGGTTGTACATTGTGACAGTCCTTGTTTTATGGGGGTTTCAGTAATGCTTCTAATTCCAGTACAGTATTTATGAAGATAATATTAACTTGAAATTACTTACACATATGCAACATTTGGTAAAAGTCTTTATCATAACCATAACCATAGAAGGAAAATAAGAAATAATCTGTATTTATAACAAAGCTTCTAAAACTATCCACTGCTATCCCTATTATTTTTTAATGTTGAACTACTGACCAAAGGGAAGACAGACAGTTACTCAATGACATCCTAGCACCTACTATCCAAGCTAAGGTACAGAATTTCACACTTAGTTTTGTAATGCACCCACACTTAAATCAAAGTGCAGGAAATATTTTTTGTTATTGCACAGATTTGAAACCTTGTCTATCAGCTCCAAAATATAGTTCTATTACAGGTCCAATCTGTGCCCAGGAAGAAAGAACTTAGTCAGTGTCTACCATGACAATAAGATTTGCTTATACCATCCTTCGTAATATAATGCTAGCATTTCGACTGAATTCACACCAGTCATTAGATTCGTTTAATAAACCATAAACATTTTCTTTAATTCTCTTGCAGTTGTAATTGTATGGCTCAGGTTCAAAACATAAGGAGTCTTCTATCATCTACTAAGTCAAACTCAGAACTGTGTGCTAATGCTATAGTTTGTGATTATGAACCTCACCAAGTCTTTGATTGTGTAGAACTGTACTAAAACTAAAAGTAAACACCAAAATTTTAGAAAACTCAATTTCAAAATGATTAATCAATTAATCACCCCCCCCCCCAAAAAAAAAAGTCTGACGTAACATACTGAAAACGCTCGAGTTAGCAAACAAATATACAATATTGTTTTATACATACCATAAAAATGAAATAATTCTAATTTAATTAATCTACATTATACTATAGGCGAAGCGAAACGACACTGACACGACAGTAACACTAACAGTAATTTAAGTTTTAATAACAAAATTAATAAATTAAATAAAATAGTGCCTCACCTCCTACTTCAGTAACAATCCAATCTGGTAGAATTAGACTAACCACTGCAAATATATCGGCAGACAAAAATAATGCTCCAGAAATAACTGTCAACTTATCCATTTTATCTTTGTTATTTGCATGGTATTTCCCACAACTTAAACACTTACGCTTTCAATACGTACTAATCATTACATTTTTTAATTCGGGTTTATATTTATAAGATGGAGAATAGACTATTTCGACAGCATTGACACCTGGTATCATTTATTTTTATTTTTGTCGTGAAAATAGATGAGCGGTATGCTAACTTACTCTTGTCATCAACAACTTTTTTATATTTTTAAGATACACGAAACATAGTTTTAGGGTTGAAAAGTGTGGTTTCAAAACACGGAGAAATACTACTTGGTAGGTCATAATAACAACTATATATTTAATTTCGAAACTCCTTGAGATTAAATAGCGGCTATAAGTAAATATAAATTACATCCAATTATACTGTTACGTCTCCGTTCGTTAGTTAATTTTCCGTAAGAATTCGTTTCCGAAGAAACTTTACCGATACAAGTCCTTTCTTAAATAAAACTGATTTATTCTTTCTGAATACAACTTTGCGATACACTTAATTTCAACAGTCGCGCTATAACAAACGCTATAATTCACAACGAACGTCTCACGTGCTCAACAATATTCTCTCTCCGCAGTTCAATTACACATTACCTTACGTTGCTTCTTGACCGGTCTTAGATATACAAGACTACCCGAATCTAGTAGTCTCCCAACATTTCATGAAGGTTCGAGAAGGAAGTGGCGTGATACAAGCGTCACGTGACCTGCGTTGTCGTAACAATATGTATACAAATAAGCATTTTTGATATCTCTCATATTTACCTCCTCTCTTCTGGTCATAATATGGCCGATCACAGTTTTGCTGCAGCTTGGCAGATTTCCTCTTACAGTGACATTCTGTTCACTCTACAAGGTCAAAAACGTGTTAATTAACAATTATAAATAAACTGTATTAATATACTTTCCTCTCCTCCATTTCTGATGGTGTTTGGCGACTCTCTTCCACTGTTACGACCTTAAACTCTGGTGGGCCATCGTTGCTGCATACTTTATCTGAAACGAAATATATTCTAAATAAAATATATAGCTACAAAATTTCTGCCTCACTTGCGCTTAGAATCGCCATCATTTTCGTCATCTCCTGTCTTATAGTCAGCTTCAAGAATGGTTATTCTAGTTGCAGTATCTATAAAATTGTAATCACGCAGTGTTGGCTACAATTCGACATCGACCATCAGCCATTACCCTGACTACAGATCCGATGCTCGAAACTGGTGGTATCTTTTAAACTACGGATTAAAGATTTCTATTGTAGGAAACGTTTGTGTAACATGACCGAAATCGATCGTGCAGTGGTAAAACAAACAAACAAATTGTGATCCTGTCAGCAGCGTTGTGTCCGAAAGGTCGGGTTTATTAGTTTGTTATGGATTTCGCGCAAAGCTGCATGACGGCTACCTGCGCTAGCCGTCCCTAATTTAGCAGTGTAAGACTAGAGGGAAGGCAGCTAGTCATCACCACCCACCACCAACTCTTGGGCTACTATTTTACCAAGGAATAGTGGGATTGACCGTCCCATAATAACGCCCCTACGGCTGAAAGGGCAAGCATATTTGGTATGACGGGGATTCGAACCCGCAGATTGCGAGTCGAGCGCCCTAACCACCTTGCCATGCTGGGCCCGGCATGAAAATTATGATATATTCAAGTATTTGTTTGTAATTAAGCCCAAATCTGCACCAAGGGCTATATCTGCTCTGCCCGCCACGGGTATCGAAACCCGGTTTCTAGCATTGTAAGTCCGCAGACAT